TTTGAGAATGCTATTGTAGAAATTAAGTAATCTTTTTGTTACTGACAGGGTAAGTTGAGAGATCATAGAATACGTTATTCGGTCGTAACCAGGTGTTTTACCTTTGAGGTTTTGCAGAGCGGATTTAAGTTCGAGTAAATTTATATCTCCTTCCATTTCCAATGCTTTGGCATCGGAGGTTTGTGGAAACGCCATGTTGAGAGATATAGACTTTTTCTCTTGAAATAACAGCGGGAAGTTACTATCATTAGATGAGTTGGACCAATGCAAGCCAAACTCATTTGCAATTTGTTTACGATCTATAATGTTTAAAAAGGGTGCATTTCGACTCTTCAGGCAATGGATTCCGTGTTTTGTTTTATAACCACTAAGTCGTTTTATATTAGCCCAAATTTTTTCTGTTGGAGTGCTGGGATTGATTTCAGAGGTAAATTCTTCCAATGATTTTCTCTTGGATTGTTTGAGTTCCCTTTTAAAAATCGCATTAGTTCTTTTGTACCTCATCACGTTGCCTTGGTTAATGTTTCGTTTGAGGGAATTCCAGCACTTATTTTTTTCAATACGAAGCTCTTGTAGCTTTGAATTCCACCATGGGACATTGTGGGTGTAATTATTCGGGTTAGATTGGGGGATAGAAGCATGCGCGGCTTGAAGTATAATTTTATTGATATTTGCGGCCTCTTTATTTATATTATCTGCTACCGGGCGGTTACAGTTGTTTTTATTTGAGTGTTGCTTAAATGATTCCCAATTGGCTGTTTTAGTAAAAAATCGGGGTTTTAGGACTTGGGAGCTAGGTTGCTGAGCTTGGAAAAGTGATATAACTAGGGGGAAGTGGCCGCTTCCACATAAGTCGTCCTGTATAGCCCAACTGCAGCTGACAGCTATAGTGGGGGAACAAATTGAGATGTCGATGTGAGTAAGAGTATTGTGTGTGCTAAAATGAGTTGGGGAATTGTCATTAAGAATAATGGAATTAGATTGAGAAATGAAGTCAGCTAGGGTTCTACCTCTGCGATTGGTGTAAACAGATATCCAATTGGGATGCCTGCTATTGAAATCGCCCATTATCAGGTTAGAGGACGTGAAAGTTCCGAGGACACTTTGCAAATTTGCTGAGTTGAAGTTTTTGTTGGGTGATATGTAAGCGGATATTACATTTAACTGTTTTTGTGAGTATATTTTTACACCGATAGCATCGAAATCGTTATTTAAGGTTATTGGTTCGTGCTGGATAGAATTGTGAATAAGTATGGCAACCCCTCCAAAAGCGTTGGAGGTGTTGAGGGTATAAATGGAGAAGTTAATTGGGATATGAATGGGTGAATTGGGTTGGATATGCGTTTCCTGTATGGCCAATACCTTTAAGTTATGTTTCTTTATTAACAACAATAGCTCATTATAATTGTTAACATAGCCTCTAATATTCCATTGTAGTATCTCAAGTTTCATATCTTAGGTTGCAGATAAAAGATCGTAACTTTTGATGTATTGTTGCTGTATACGTAAATGTAAGTCTAAGTACCCACTAGCACTTGAATGGAGATCTCCCTAAGTGAGGAATAAAGAAGTACTCCCCTTGACCTGATTTCGGAGCAATAAGAGAGATTTGATGGTTTTGTACTCCTATATTACTCGCTTAGGAGTCAAATGGGAGATCTCCTAAGCGAGCAACTAAAGAATGCTCCCTGAGGCATGATTTAGGATCAATAAACGAGATTTGTCAATTTTGTACTCCTGTATTGCTCGCTTAGGAGCGTAATGGGAGATCTCCTAAGCCAGTAACTAAAGAATACTCCCTGAGACATGATTAAGGAGGAATCAGCGAGACTTTTCATTTTTGTACTCCTGTATTACTCGCTTAGGAGCAAAAAGCGATGTCTCCTAAACGAGTAAAAAAATATTGCTCCATGAG